ATGCTGGTTTCTGTCTTCTTCCTTGACTCGAATGTAGGTGTTGGGAACTATCATTACTACCTATTGTTCCTGTCTTCCTTAACAGTGACCAGTGTCTGGCTGCTTTATCAAAGTCTTCTGTGTATGTATCAGTGAACTTATTTCAATTTAGCTGTCAGGGACCTGTGTGTGGTTTTTATTCCTGGCTAGCATAATTAATTATAACTGCACAAATGGGTAACTCAGTCTAGTTCCATCCCCATCTCAGGAGTTGGAACTGAGTGATCTTTAAGGTTACTTCCAGCCTAAGCCATTCTGTGGTTCTGTGTTGTAGAAATGAGTCAGTGTTCTACTTGGAGTAAAATGCACCAGGTATGGCAGTGGTAGACACAGAGTGTGAATGTGAGTTGCTTTCCTGTGTTTCAGTGTGGTCTTAAGTGTGCAGAAGTACAATGTTTTCTGTTTTCCGTGTTCACGTGAACATGGGAGGAAAACCACTTGATTGCTGTACTGACATAACAGCAAAACCTTTACTGGTTTTGTGTTTTTTAAGACACGTCATAGGCTTTAAGCGTCTCTTAGAAATCTACAGGAGCTGAATATTCCAGTTTGTTTATTTAATAGTGTGAAAAGTATTGCTTTCTTGTCACTGTTACGATCTTCTTTTGTTGGTGGTGGTGTTTAAGACAAATCCTAAAACTAATAATTAGTGTGCAGCAAAATTTGAGAAAGCTCGACGATGAGAGGTAATTATTATTTCAATATCACTAGTTCACTTTAATGTAAAAACAAAGCAAAGCATCTAGCCAGTTGTTGGAATGTTCCCTCTGTGGATTATGGACACAGAAAGTAAAGGTTGTGCAACGAGAGCAGCAAGCAGTTGCATATCCATGTGAGTGTTTTAAGTGGGAAGTGGTGTTTTGAGAGCAAACTGCTCTGCAACACTTTGTGCAAATATTCTTCGCTTAGTACAGGAGTGGTCAATGTTAGAAAGGTAACGAAATGATTGTGAATCTTGTCGGATTGGTCAAACCACTGCATAACAAGTTACCATGCAGATGGAGCATGGACGTACTTCTTTGAGGCTGTGCAGATGCTGCTCAGCAACAGCAGAAGGGCTGGTTTGGTTACCAGTCCATAGCACAGCACCGGGAGCTGATAGGAAGATAATGAATCGCTTCTCATCTGGTCCCAGGTCAGTAGGCAAGCTAATATATCTTGTTAGAATAGTTAGTGTAAATGGAAAAATAGGCAACAGTTCATATTCAGAGGCCCGAAAGAATTTCTGTGCCCAAAACCATGGTCATATTTTTAATTTTTCTGGATGGCCTGTAAACTTTGTGTATGCTTATACAATCGCAAGTATAACACAGCTTTCCTCCTTTAAAAATGGAATGAAAGAGGGAAGGATGAATGATAGATAGTCTTATAGGTCATGTACAGAGATTTGCAAAGAGCAGAGGTTTTCTCAGTTGGCAGAGAGAATCCTCCCTCATTTGGCCTTGGCTCTCCTGTTGCCAGTGCCCATAAGCATTCGTGGATGTGGGGTTAAGGACTAGAGACAAGGTGAGCATTTTGCATTTGCTGAATGCTGAGGAAAGGATTTCCCCTTGTGGAGTAAAGTTTATTGATTCCTAAAGAATCACAGAATCACAGAAAGTCAGGGATTGGAAGGGATCTCAAAAGATCATCTAGTCCAGTTCCCCTGCTGGAGCAGGAACACCTCAGTTAGGTCACTTTTTTGCCCCCCTGAAAATATAAATGTATGGTAGTTTGGTGATGGAATGTATTTAATATTAGTCCTGCTTGTATAAAAACATTTTAATAGTAATTTTTGTGCTGACAAATAGCTGCTTCCACGTTTGTTTCACAAAATGGACTTTCAAGCAGCTGAAAATACTGTTCATACTTAATTTAGATTTAACATTATTCTGATTAGTTTAGTACTGTTTTCTCTTGAGTATGTTTTCTTTCTTAATCTGAGCTGTGTGCTTTCTGACTGTGATTCCAAGTCTTCTCTGAACCCAGGTTTCCCTTACTGAGAGTCAGTGCTTTTTATGAAACGTACGAGCAGATTACAGCTGTGGATGAACTTCATGGTGAAACCATCATGTACAGTTTTACATATATGCATTATACTTGTCAAATGTGTTAAAAAATACAAGAAATTGAAAACTTTTTTTTTTTTTTTTTTTTTTTTTTTTTAACCAGTTATTAAAACTATAACTGAAAATTGCATTTTGGCTATTTGGAGAATAGCTTAAAGAATTCCTTGCTGTCCTCTAAATGACAACCCTACATTATCTTGGGCTGTGAGATCCTACCAGCCATTTTATCGTGTGTATTTGCATATTGTTTCACAAAGTTTGTGATGGTTTGTAAGCATGGGAGGCAAAGTAGCAGCTATTTGGTACATGTTACTCTAACCTGATGTTATCACAACTAGTAGAAGAGCTGGCTGATTAGAATACCCACAAATAAATCTTTTCCTCCCAAGGGAAGCTGTGGCATGGTCAGCCCAAGCACTGCCTGCATTCTGTGCTCAGATAGTTCCATTCCAGTCTGAGTTCTCAAGTCAAGAAGAGAGGTGTGAGCTAAAACTTCTCAGGAAATGATTAAACAAAATGCAGCTTTGAGTCCATAGTGAAAGCCAATTTTAATCTTGATGTGGTAAGTAGGGCAAAAATGTTACATATTTCACATTATCTAGAAGATGGTGAGAAAAATGTCAGCATGCTAAGCTGGCAGTGTAGCATTCACACTGGGGAGCAGACAACGTGTTTAATGTTCATTGCTGTCCTGCCAAATCACAAGTCAGACTCAGCAGGATGTCGGTTATCCCGTGGCTTCCGCTGAATTTTCCCTCTTTCTTTCCTTTATGCTCTCACATTTTCCTCTTTCTAGGAACTCACATATTAAATTGTATGGAAGCTGGGAAGAGACCAGTTGATGTTTGCTGCCAGCTTAAGAATGAGAACACTTACTGGCTCTACCACTAATGCTGAAGGAAAAGAATGATGTCTGAAGAGAGGAGAGAGAAGGATCACTTTTTATAAAATGAAGTTAAAAGACTGGAATTTAGCGAGAAAATTTGGAGAGCCCATTCTCAGCTGTGCTGAGAAGGAAGAGGGAAACGGAACTAAGGAACACAGAATCTCTTAAAATTAAACTTGCTGTAACCAAGCGAGCTTGTATTTCTGCACAAGTTGCCAAGACCTGCTAGGTCAATTGTAAATGCTTGTGCTTACTCCACCAGCATATCTTCATCCAGGAGGGAGTAAAAGATTGTGATTGCTTCCAAACAGAAATAAACATTAACGCCTCTCCTGAGTCTCTTAAGAATATGCATTTTTCAACAGTGCAGTGTTAGTATGGAGGGAAGTTGACTCCTGTGTGTTGAAACACACTTCATGTGTAATACCCTTCTGGTGTGACACAGGCATAATGTGTTTATGGATCTAGGCAGTGAAGGTGCAATCTCTGATGATGACCTCAGTATGGTACTGGTAGACCATCAGCCCCAGCAGCATGGATCCAGAAAGGCATTCCCTTTGCAAAGATTTTACATTCTAAAATCTTTATTCCCAATTGCTAAAATGAAATAATGAAATGAAATGAATAAAACGGAGATGCTGCAGGGGCCTTTTCTCCCCTTGCTGCTGCTTTTCTTTTTGTTGTTGTTGTTCCTGCACAGAATCTATGATTCTGCACGCTGCTGGGTTCGAGGCACCTGGAACTGCTGCTGCCCAGCTAAGCTTGCCGTCCTTCACAGAGTTTCCTCTCTGGCAAGATTTTGAAGATTATGAAGAATATAAACGTGCAGTAAAAACTCGAATTCACAGCTAGAGGCTGCACGTCCTCTGGGTAACAGATTAGCTGGATAACCATCAGCTGAGCAGATCATGAGACCATAAAGCAATGAAAGAAAACAGCTTGCTAGACTTTGGAACTACCTCCATTGAACTTAGGCTTTTGCCTCTGAAATTAACATGCTTCTGTAGGTAAATAGATTTCCTTAACAGCCAAAAGGCCGGTCCTAAAGTAGAAAGAGCTGTCAAAAATCAGTCTGGCTAAAAGTAGTACGGTGTCCAACCCCTCAGGGAAAGCTTCAAGTTTGTCACTAAAATAGAACAAGTCCACAATGAGAGATTTGTTATTTTTTTTCTCTTTGCCTTATAGGCCTTTCTTCTTGTAAGTAGACATGTTAGACACTTTGAGAGCTCTATCTGGAATGTTAGTGTGCAGTTCTACACACAAAAAAACAACATTTAAAAAATTACTGTGATAAACATACATTATTCAGGATTTTGCATTACTTACCTTTCATTTCCTGTTTTTCCTTCTTTGCTCATCTTGTACTGTGTACAAGGTACCATGTACTGGAGGAAAGGTACAATATATTAAGCTCCATTTTGAATTAGACCATGAACTGCCTTAGTGACCTAGTCTGAATGTAGTTTGGACTAAAGTCCCTAGATCCCATACTAGCCAGTGAATCATTCCACCCCTTTCCTCTCACTGAATTTAGATCTCCTTGGATCTTTGGGGATCTTTTCTTTAGAGCTACAAAATGTGGCCTGAGCTGGGAGAATCTTGATATATATTTGTACAGTGTCTCCTTGGAAGTGTTTATGAAACCTCTTGTACTTAAAGAAAGTATTTCTTGAGCAGGCTCTTGTTTTTATTTCTCACAATTGCTTCATTTGAATATCTTGCTAGCTCCTCTGTAACTGTAGTATTGCTGCCCTCCTCCGAAAAGCACTGGTTAAAGGAAAGCAATGTCATCTGCTTGTGCAGGGTTATGTATTAATTATAGGAGGAGCAAATTGCTGTGTCTTCAAATTGTTGGCAACTCTTTTGGTTTTTGAGACAAGCCTGCTGTTAAGCCTTAGATAAGGTAAAAACTTCTGAAATTTTTACTTTAGCTTCTATTCTTTGTCACTGTAATGTAGTAGGTCTCTACATCAGCCTACACTTCTCATTTAACCCAGAACTATTTAAAGAAGTTTAAGGAAACATTATGAAGATGACAGGAAAGTGCTTTTATTGTGTTAAAAGTGAATACATTGGTGCAAAACGAAGATTGAAAATTAAACCTTAATTAAATCAAGCCTTAAACCTGAAAACACAGGAAGTTGGTTATTCAATTTAAGCTTTTTGATTCCCTTTTAGCTCTGTTAAAATCTGTGAGTATGGCTTTATTGTTTGGAATATTTGCATGTTGGAGTTTCAGTCTGTGGCTTTTTGTATGGATGCATTCTTCATGGTGTGTCTACTGCTGTGGTCTTGTTTTTCAGTTACACAGCTCCTTCAAGCAAGCTTTTGGTAAAAAGAAATCTCCCAAGTCAGCATCTCCTCATTCAGATATTGAGAAGATACAGGTTCTTCATTGCCTTCATTGCCAAAGCTGCCACACTATAATTCTACTGTTTCTACACCATTGCTGAGAGCTTCTCATTCCAATTCTCTGTAAGTGATTTCTATTTTTATTTTTTAAATGGAAAAATGGGTGGAAAGCATCTTAGTAAGCAGTTAGAGGAAAAGAGCAAAATCATGCTTTTGATAGGTCCAGTGTTTATATGCTAGTTCTGTGGGACATCTCTAGGCTGCTTTCTAGAAACAAACAATGGCAAAGTGTATCTTAAAACATCCCATCCTGTTGATTCCTCTGAATGGGAATCTACAAATCTGTGAAAGGACTACAAGAGTTTGACAGCTTTTTGGTTATGTGCACTGCTAAAACCAGACCGCAGTAGAAGCTATAGCGGGTCAAGCAGGGTAGCCTTGTACATGTGTGCTGGTCTGCTCCTACTGGTTGGCCCTACTCCTGAGCAATACTTGCTTTATCTCCTAGAGAAGGGGCTGTTTTTGGCTAAGTGGATTTGATAAAGTCCTTAACCATGTCCAACCAAGGACCCAACTCCACTATACCACTCAGTGCCACACCTCTACTTTTCTTGAAAATCCCCCAGAGTGATGCTATCGCTTCTCTAGGCAGCCTGTTCTAATGCCCAACCACTTTTTCTGAGATTTTTCCTAACAGCCAACCTGAACTTCCCTTGGCATAACTCAAGGCCATCATCTCTTGTCCTGTTGCTGATACCCAGGAGAAGAAGCCAACCTCCACCTTGCCACAACCTCTACAGCAGGAAGTTGTAGAAAGCTATGAGGTCTCCCCTGAGCCTCCTTGTCTCCAGGCCAAACAATCCCAGTTCCCTCAGCTGCTCCCCATCAGACTTGTGCTCCAGTCCCCTCACGGCTCTGTTGCCCATCTTTGGATACGATCCAAGTCTTCCTCGCATTGAGGGACCCAAAACTGAACACAGTATTCAAGATGCAGCCTCACCAGAGCTGACTGCAGAAGGATCATCACCTCCTGCTCGTGCTGGCTGCACTATTTCTGATACAAGCCAGGATGCCACTGGCCTTCTTAGCTACCCACGTACACTACTAGTCAGCCAGCTGCTGACTAATACCCTCAGATCCTTTTCCTCCGTGCAGTTTGTCAGCAACTCTGTCTGTCCCAAGCCTGTAGTGATGTATGAGGTTGCTGTGACCAAAGAGCAGGACCTAGCACTTGGTCTTATTTCAACATAATCTCACTGCCAAGATATAACAGCAGTAGAAACTAAAGAGACATTTTTTTCCACTTTTTCCATTTAACAGACACCCAACTGTTCAAGATGTTTCCCTGTGCTGTAGAACACAAAACACAGAACAGCAGACAAAAGATGACAAAACAAGAAGGGCAGACGCTAACCTGACTTCACCCACAATATCTGCAGCAAGGTTCTGCAGGCTGTTCCGTAGTTCCTCTACTTCCCTCCTCAGCTCCAAGATGTTTGTCAGCACAAAATCCAGGCGGTCCACCACATCCACCTGCTCACCATGTGTTAACAGAGGTGTATACACAGCACAATCTCCTGCCCCTAAAGGAACTGGCTTTCTGGTTAGACCTTTGAGAAACCAAGACAGAAAAAAAGGTTATCAGATGAAAATCATACAATCACAAGGTTGGAAAGCACCTACAAACAAGATCATCTAGTCCAACTGTCCTCCCATTACTATTGCCACCACAAGCCACTAAACCGTATCTCATAGCTCCTCATCCAGACGCCTCTTGAACACTGCCAGGGACGGTGACTCCACCGCCTCCCTGGGCAGGCCATTCCAGTGCCCGACCACTTAGAAAGTGCCTGACCACAGAGAAAAACTTCTTCATGATGTCTATTCTAAACCTCCTCTGGTACAACTTGTGGCCATTTCCTCGGGTCCTGTTTGTTGACTGGGAGAAGAGGTCAAACCCCTCCTCATCACAACCTCCCTTCAGGAAGTTGTAGAGTGCAGTGAGGTCTCCCCTGAGACCTCCTCTCTCCAGACTGAACAATCCCAGCTCCGTCAGCTGCTCCTCATAAGACTTGTGCTGCAGACCCCTCACCAGATTTGTTGCCCTTCTCTGGACACGCTCCAGGGTCTCAACGTCTGTCTTGTAGAGAGGGACCCAAAACTGAACACAGTACTCAAGGTGTGGCCTCACCAGTGCTGAGTACAGGGAAATGGGAAAGGGTTTCTCACAGGAAATGTCAGTTCAATTTTGTCTTCACAAAACAGAGGGCATAAAGTTTAATCTTGAGTACTGCCCCCTGACCTGGCCTGGTGCTTTTGGTTCCTGCACTGGTTTACCACCCCATCCTGACATCAGCATGCAGTCACACTAAACACTTCCACAGTGCTAACAGATTGAATAGAGTCCACTCCTAGAAACATTCAAGGTCAGGCTAGACAGGGCCCTGAGCACCCTGATCGAGCTGAAGGCGCCCCTGTTCATTGCAGGACAGTTGGATTAAATGATCTTTAAAGGTTCTTTCCAACTCAAGTGATTCCATGATTCTATGAGTTCTCTCAGTGACACTTCTGCAGACATCCCCTTGTGAAACACTTAAAAAAACTACAAAATCCATATTGAATACCACAAAGACCATGGCAGTTGAGCAAATTGCTTCTTTTTAAGAACACCTTACTGCAAAATAAGTTCCGTTTCTATTCTACATACATCTGTTTTAAGAGATACTGGACTTTAAGAATCATCGAATCATAGAATCACATGCTGGAAACAATCTACACGATCACCTAGTCCAACCGTCTCTTCATCACCATTGCCACCACTAGCACTAAAGGTTCATATCTCACAGCTCCTCATCCAGACACCTCTTGAACACTGCCAGGGATGGCGACTCCACCGCCTCCCTGGGCAGGCCATTCCAGTGCCTGACCACTCTCTGAGAGAAAAAGTTTTTCTTATGTCCAACCTGAACCTCCTCTGATACAACTTGTGGCCATTAACCCGTGTCCTGCTCGATGCCTGGGAGAAGAGGCCAAATCCCTCTTCACCACAACCTCCCTTCAGGAGGTCGTAGAGTGCAGTGAGGTCTCCCCTGAGCCTCCTCTTCTCCAGACTGAACAATCCCAGCTCCCTCAGCTGCTCCTCATAAGACTTGTGCTCCAGACCCCTCACCAGTTTCGTTGCCCTTCTCTGGACACGCTCCAGGATCTCAACATCTTTCCTGTAGTGAGGAGCCAAAACTGAACACAACACTTGAGGTGCGGCCTCACCAGTGCTGAGTACAGGGGGATGATCACCTCCCTGCTCCTGCTGGCCACACCATTTCTGATGCAGGCCAGGATGCCGTTGGCCCTCTTGGCCACCTGGGCACACTGTCGGCTCATGTTCAGCTGAGCATCAACCAACACTCCCAGGTCCTTCTCTTCTCCACAATCATCCAGCCACTCATCCCCAAGCCTATAACGCGGCATGGGGTTGTTGTGGCCAAAGTGCAGGACCCGACACTTGGCCTTGTTGAACCTCATCCCATTCACCTCAGCCCAGCGGTCCAGCCTGTCTAAATCCCTCTGAAGGGCTGCCCTACCCTCAGGCAGATCAACACCACCTCCCAGCTTGGTGTCATGTCCCAGCAGTAGAGTCATGAAAAGATGTAATTTCCCTGGGCTTGAGCGTGGTTTAATGGGCACGGTGGTGACGGACTGATTGGTTGGACTAGATGACCTACAGTTCTTTTTCAACCCTAATGATTCTATAATTCCTTCTAGGGGCATGGTGGCGATGGGCTGACAGTTGCACCTGACGATCTGAGAGAGTGGGTACAAGCAGGTGTTTCACTTTGTTGACATGCAGAATTCAGGAGCCTAGACTGAAAATAAAATAAATAAACGGAAGTTGCTCATAGGAGAGCACTTTGCCTTGAATGTCTCATATCTTAAAGCCTTGTCACTGTTTCCAAGGTTTTTGTGAAGAGCGTTTGAACCTGTTCATGCTACAAAAGCATCTTTTCGATATCGCGGTGGCTTATCGCTTTCCTGCCATACTGCACGTGGCATGACGCCCAACAACTCTGGCGTCCTCCACTGACAGGAGAGCAGGTGCACCCAGATGGCCTTGACAGAAAGCCTCAACTGGTGAACGGCTGCCGGTACCTCTGGGAAGGAATCAGAGGGCCCTCCCTGCGGTCCTACCCCGGCCCCGGGCCTTACCCTGGCTCCAACTCCCCACGACCTCCGCGCCGCCGTCCCCGAGTCCCGCCGTGCCTCCGGGCCGCCTCCGGGCCGCCTCCCGGCCGCTGCCGCCGCCCCGCCGCCAGCCGCGCCGCCGCCGCCGCAATGCCCACAGCAGGCTGAGCCCCAGGCCCGCGGCCGCCGCCGCGCCCAACGCCAGCCCCAGCGCCAGGCGGCTGGGCCCGGAGCGCGCCATGCAGCTCCGAGAACCGCGAGCGGCGCGGGGATGACGTCACTGAGGTGGTCACGTGGCGCACTTACATCACTTAGCGACGGAGAACCGGGAGCCGCGGTGGCGGGGCGGTGCTATGGCTACTCGTGCACTCCGGCTGTAACTCTACATGTATCTTCCCTGGCACCTATTCCTGTATCTACACCTGCACTTCTGCCTACGCGTAAAGCTGTACCCACATCTGTACCCACACGTGTATCTGGATCTGCACCTGTACAACGCAACCCCAGTTCCTCCAGCTACTTCACAGCTACTTCACCTCCAACACAATCCCTGCAGCCGCAGCTCGCACCCAACAAATCCTGGTGCCACCAACCTGCCCGACCCTTTCCAATTGATGCAGACATTTCAGGTGACAAGCACAGCAACACTTCTCTGGCTGTGGGCATAGAGGCAGGAAGCTGAATTTCTTTGCCTGGTTATTGGGTACAACCCAAGGCAGCACAAATCTGTGGTTCTGCAGATATTAAAGATGGTATCAGAGAAACATCATTCTGCAGCTGTATTATGCCTGCCTGTCTTGCATTGAACCTTAACGAAAGTAATAAAAACAAGCTTTTTGAAGGAAATAATTCCCAGAAATAATAGTTTCTGCTTGAGCTGCTTTGCTCTTTCCCTTTAACCCCTGTAATGCAGCAGATAACAACTGTATGTTGGTGGAGAATTGTAAAGATGCGAAATCTCCATTGGATCTCATTTTCTCCTTCGTTTTCATAAGCCCCTCTGGGTTTATCACCACAACAGCTCCAGTTGCTCAGGTAGTAGTATCTCTTGGTCTGCCAGCCCTTGCAAACAAGCCACTGAACTGCACCACAGTTTTGTTATTGTCATTACAACCTTTAGAAATAAAGAGATTGCTGTAATAATGCCCTCTGCATCTTCAGCACAAATCTTTTTGCTGGGGTTGGAGGGAGGGGATGAATTATAGATCACTGGTGAAACCACACTGTTAGTTATGGAATATGATAGGGCTCTGGATAAAACGAACAACATCTGTAGCAGGATCAAAAACAGCAGATTGCAAGGATCCAATGCTGTGGATGAATTACTTCTTTAGTAATTAGGGACACTATTAAAAAGAAATGTAGTCACTTTTGTATGCATCAATATTTGCATTAAGCACAATGTTCTTGGAATATCAAACCTTTTAGTGCAGCACAGGCTCTCATCCTCCCTGCAGAGGTGCTTGAAGATGACTTAGTCCACGAGCCAGAGAGCTCTGGGGTTCGGAACATGTCCTGAAGTATGGCACAGGGCTCTGGGAGAGCGACAGAGGCATGTACATTTCTCAACTCTCACACTTTTCTGGTCGGCTTTGAGGAGCAAAGGACAAAAGTAGCAAAAAATAGCACTGAGGAAAGATGGTGAGTACCATGGTGGGAGTAGATGATGGTTATTTCACAGAGCAGACCATTCATAGGTCTTGTTGCGAGAATCATAGAATCACAGAATCACTCACATTGGAAAAGACCTTAAAGATCATCGAGTCCAAAAACTGCTCACTCTTGGGTTGTGATTGCAGTATGTTAGGTGGAAATGGGCTCTGTGTAAGACAAGGGAGATATTAATGATAACGTGAATGGTGGAATCATCATCTCAAGGTTTGGGGTTTGAATTTTCCCATTCCACAGTCAGTGAGTGAACTGTGGGTGAAACGGTTCCCTGTCTGGTTACATACACCAGGATTACAACTAGAAATGCCTTTTCCCAGAACAGCTGAAGGGAAAGTAGCAGCAACTTCAACGACTTGCACAGTGTATTATTTTCCAGCTAGAAGATCGATTAAACACATTCTGTTACTCCAACCCAAGGGTGGGGATTCTCAGCAGCAACCCACAGGGTGAGCAATGCCATTCGATCATTCAATCAGCTTTACGGTACATTTTTGGGATTTCTCCTTGATCAGAAGTTTGTTCTCCTTCCAGAAGCAGAACCATCCCTTAAATTCAGGGGAACTGAGTTGTTAGGAAACGCCATTAATCAGTATTATTTGAGGCAAGAAATTTGATTGGTATCGACTGGTATTGCAGAAAGAAGAGTGGTAATTAGAAAAAGCCACTGCTGTCAGAAGGAGAAAAACAGAGTTCTTCAATGTTCTTCAGTGTCACTCTTGTGCATAAGGGATTTATGACCATAGATAACATTTTGCCAAAAAGACTTTTGCTTTCTTTCACACAAATTCTTGCTATCCATGTCCAACTTTAAGCAGAAATCTCAGAGCCATGCCAAGGGGCAATAACTGCTTTTTGATGATGAATGGCACCACTGAGATACATGGCACTGTGTTTTATAGCTTGCTCTCACGCCATTGCTGCTCAAAGCACTTGGGCTGTCTCCCAGGTTTTGATTTTTCAATGGGAACTCTGATACCAAAATGTCGTGTGCAGGCTCTGCTTTCTTTTTCCTCTCTTTTATTTCCTCTCCTCCCTTTAAAAAGAGCCTTGCAGGAGCCAAACTGAGCAGTGAGAGTGAGTGCTGGGCAGCCTGCCACTCTACAAGAGCCCTGGATATATATTTTTTTCTTTAATGTGATGAAAGATCCAAGGGTCTGGATTTCAGCTCTGGGCTCCCTTGCGATGGGAACACTCTCACAGCAGAGATCATCTGGTCCAGGTTACAAGGTGATGGATTTGGGTATAGGAAGCAAAAACAACTGTGGTGAAACCAGCAGGGAAAGTACTTCTGTATCAGTTGCTGGGTGATAGGGACAAAAAAAAAAAGTGAAAATAACACAGATTTATATTAGGGAGTAAATCTTAGGAATAAACATTTGGGTTGTTTTCACACCAGGGAATTCAGGAAGACCTTAGGAAGGTGATCTAAATGAATGGATGCGTAACCCAAGGGGTGAAATATCCCAAGCACATTTTAGGAAGATGGTAACATCAATGTATATTAGTTGTTTTGCTTTGTCAAATCAAAACTAACGAACATGACAGGAACAACAGCAAAACCTGGCTGTCTTGGAGCATTTTCTTTAGACTAATGAGTAGAAATGTGGATTTTCCCGCTCAGTCCGTACTGGGGTTAATTGGTAACTGTGGCATTGCAGGGAAGTGGGCCCCAGGTCAGGCCGGAAGGACACAGCATGCCCCAGCTGCTTGGGAACAGCCTTCTGCTTTCCCCCTGAGCTGCTTGTTTCTGAAGATCAATAAGAAATTAGGGATTAATTATGTCATGCTAACAGTTGCTGATCAACATGGGAGGAACTTTTTTCCCCTCACATTTTGAAGGGATTTAAACCATCACATTTAAAAGCTGCAGGGCCCAGGGTTCACCTTGCCCATCATCTCCCTCTCCATCATCTATCTATCATCTTTCAGTCCTTTGTCTCCCCGTCCCTCATCTCCCATTTTATTGTCACTCTGTCCAATGTCTCCTGATCCACTGCCTCCTGGAATATCATGTCATCTCCCATTCTTTACCTTCCTGTCCATCATCTCATTGTCCTTCATCTCCCTACCCTTTGTCTACTGTCCATCATCTTCTTGTCTATCATCTCCCTGTTCATCATCTCCCGGATCATTGTCTCATTATTCAATGTCTCCTGGTCCATTGCCTCTTGGGATATCATCTCCTATCCTTCATCTCCCATCCGTCATTCTCCTGTCCTTCTTCTCCCTGTCCTTCTCCCTGTTCATCATCTTCTTATCCATCATTTCCCAGGTCATTCTCTCACTATTCAGTGTCTCCTGCCGCAGTGCCTCTTAGGCTATCATCTCCCAGCCTTTATCTACCTGTCTTTCATCTACTTGTCCATCATATCCTTGTCTGTCACATCTCTGTCCATCTTCTCCTCCTTCATCACCCCCAAGCCATCCTTTCCTGTCCTTCATCTCCTTGTTTATCATATTCCTTCCATCACATCCCTGCCCATTGTCTTCTGCTCCATCACCCCTGAGCTATCGTCTCCTGTCTTTCATCTCCCTATCCATCTTCTCTCTGCTCTTTGTCTGTCCATCATCTCCCTATCCTTCATCTCTCTGTCCTTCACCTCTCGGTCCACCATCCCCCTTTCTCTTATCTGTGTCCTTTGCTCTCCCTGCCCATCATCTCCCTATTCCTCATCTTTCTGTTCCTTGTCTCCATTATCACCTTGTCCTTCATCTCTCTGCCCCTCATCCCCTGTCCTTTGTCTCCCTGTCTATCATTTTCTTATCCAACACCTTCCTATCCATCATCTTCTTGTCCTTCATTCCTTGTCCATTATATCCCTATCTATCACCTCCCTCGTTTGTCTCTCCATCCCTTTCCCTTTTCTCTCTGTCCCATGTCTCCCTGCACATCTTCCCATTCCCCATCCCTCTATGGCCCAACAGAGCCAAGATCCTTCACAAAGCCGGCTCCACACCTCCCTCTCTCCCCTCCCCCCCTCTAGTCCCCCGGGAGGGTGCAGCGCGGCCACCGCCTCCCTTGGGCGGAGCGGGGGCGGGATGGGAGGGGATGCAGCCTCCCCCCTGCACTGCCCCGGGGCTGCGGTCTAGCGGTGGGATCATGCCGTACCTCCTCATCAGCACACAGATCCGCATGGTGAGTCCGCCCCGCCGCCGGACCCTTCCGGGCTGTGGGGAGCTATTTAGAGCTCGGGCTGTGGGTCCTATTTAAGGCTGGGAGGTTGCATGAAGGGCAAAGGGCGACGCGAGCAGCGGGATGGGGAGGAGGCTCCCCGTGGGGTGCGGTGCCCCAGAGTTATGCTGAGCAAAAAGCGCTGTGCGCAAGCCCTCCTCCCTTCGTCCTATCCTTTCTGTGCTGTGGGGTCCCTGTAGTGCTACCCGGTTCCCCCTACAAATACCCAACAGCATCACGTTTGAAACTTGTTGCAGAGGCCTGTGAAAGTCAGGGAAAGTAATTTCCAGCCATGTGGCCTCACTGCAGGTTTTCCCTTTTCCCCGAAAAGCCCCCGTGGAAAACACAGCCCCAGCAAAAGGGAAAGATGTTATTGGTAGCAGGATCATTGTGTAGCACCCAAAGCCACATTGTCATAGAAAAACACAAAGGAAATGCTGCTTGCTAGTGATTGCGGTATCTGCAGCCCTCAGAGCAGCTCTTGCAGCCAGCTGCAGCTGCACATCTGCAAAAGCAGAAGGATATCTAGGTGTGTTTATTCTTTTCCCAAAGGGAGCTATAGGTACAAATACCACCGTTTTGCAATAGGAAGGTGCGATGAGGAAAATGGCAAACCAAGTTGGCAGGAGTTTAATGAGAGGTGCAGAGATGCCTCGTTACAGTTACATCTCAGACCCTGTGAACAGAGAACTGAGGAAAACGCTCTGGAATGCTGCGGCACCAAATCATAGAACTGTACAATGGTTGGGTTGGAGGAGACCTTACAGATAATAGAATCACAGAATGGTTGGGTTGAAAGAATCCTTAAAGATCATGTAACCATTGAATGGTTGGGTTGGAAGGGACCTCAAAGCCCCCCAGCCCCAGCCCATGCCATGGGCTAGTAACCCTCCCAGGCTGCCCCTTCCAGCCTGGCCCTACAGACACATCCCTGGAGATGCCTCCATTTGTGATGGCATCTGGCATCATTACAAGTTGATTGAATAATTATGGACTGAGCTATGTTGGAAATATCCAAACAATTTTCTAGGACTGTTTCTCTGATAAGAGAGAGCCCCGAGAAAACAGTGGTACAACTTTTATCCCCTATTGCCTGCCACTTCTCTCTTTCTCCCCTGGTTCTAACTTTCACAGGAAGTAATAAGAGCTGTCCAGCTTATTTATGCTTTGCTCATACCTCCGATTTTTAATCCTTCTGTCCAGAAGGCAGGCATATAGCTGCAGAGATGTTTTAATTCACTCAGAAAATATCTGAAGCGATTATATGTTGGACAGCTAGATCACAGTAGCATGGCAATTATACTGTCCTTTACATCCCCTGAGAAAGAGGAGCCAATTACATCACAATTGCATCTCAAGAAGCTGTATAGTATTTCTGATGCTTTTAGATGTTGCTTTGTTGCCAGTGATTTCAGTCTGTGGAAGCCAGAGTTGGTTACGTGAAGAAATTCTGTTACAGTGTTCTTCAGACTTTGGTTAGATCCCAGAATCACAGAGCCACAGAATGGTCGGGTTGGAACTGCCTGCAAAGCCCCTCCAGCCCCAATCCCTGCTGTGGACTGGTTGCCTCTGAACCCGAACAGGCTACCCGGGGTTCTACTCCACCTGGCATCTGGGACCTTTGTGGATTGGGCATTCACAGCTCCATCTGCACAGCCTGTGCTATTGCCTTGCTACGTTCTGAATAAAGGATTTTCCCTGAATATCTAACCTACATGTCCCCTCTTCAAGTTTAAAACCATTCCCCCTTGTCTTATCACTATCAGATTGCATAGAATAGTTGGTCTCCCTCTTGCTTATAAGCTTTTTTAAGAAATGGAAGGCCACAGTGAAGACTCCTGGAGTGTTCTCTAAAAATCCCCACTTCCTCTGCCTGTATTCATCTAGAGAAGAAGAGACGAAAGGAGAGATATTCTTATATAGTCACATTAATCTATCTTATTCTAGCCATGGGCTAGTGTCCTCTGAATCCGAACAGCCTGCCCCGCGCTCTCCCAGCCTGCCCTTGGGCACCTCCAGAAACGGGGCATTCAGTTTGTCTTTTCTGCACTGCTGTGTGCCCCAGAGTCAGGAAGATCAACCATATATCCTGGTGTGCATCAAGCACAGTATTGCCAGCCAGTCAAGGGATCAGATTTTCCTAGTCTACTCTGCACAGGTACAGCCACACCTTGAATACCACTGAGTACAGTTTTGGGTGCCACGGAGCAGTAGAAACAGTACTAATTACATATGCAGCTTGCATTACACAGTATTTTGGCTTTGTGTTGTTAACAGTTTCAGAGTGTCTCCTGCTACCTGCGATGGCACATGACTGGTATGTGGCCATCTATAAGCCTCAGCTTTATACTACCATCATGATTGAGATCATGTTTGAGATGCTCTGCTGAACTTTGGTGAAATGTTCGTACTTCTGGGTCTGAACTCTTTGGTACACACCAGTGTCTTCCTAAAACTATCATTTTTCCTCTTGAAATGTGGTGAAGCATATCTTTTGTGATAACAGCCCTCTCTTCCCTCCAGGAGGGAAGATTTCAATTGGATGTCAGGGGAATCTCTTTACAGAGAGAGTGGTAAGTTGCTGGAACAGCCTGCCCAGAGAGGTTGTGGATACTCTGTCCCTGGAGGTGTTCAAGTCCAGGTTGGATGGGGCCTGTGGCAGCCTGATCTACTACCAGATCTGAAGGTGGGTGGCCTTGCCTGTGGCAGGGATGATGGGACTTGGTGATCCCTGGGGTCCTTCCAACCCAAGCCATTCTGAGAGTCTGGGATTCTATGATTCTGTGACTCTTTCAGATTTCTTCTTCCAGTACTGCTCTCGATGAGTTGCTGGTTTTCATTTCCGGCAGTTTGTTTGTAATGAACAGCATCATTTGCACCTCATCTCATATATTTTCATTGTTCTGACTGTGCTGTGGATCCACTCCAAGGAGAGCAAACACAAGGCCTTTTCCACATTCACCTCTCACCTGATGGTGGTCTCTTTGTTGCATGGAACCTTTATCTTCATGTACTTGTGAGCTGTCAAGAGCTTCTCTCAGGACACAGACAAAATCACTGGGGTGATCCCTATGCTGAACTGCTGCACCCCCTCATCTACAGCTGGAGAAACAAGGAGGTAAAAGATGTGGAAGTCAATGAGCCTACAGTGTGGATTTCAACTGGAGGATTTGTAAGGTCCCTTCTAACCCATCCAAAAGGCAAGGAATTTTCTCTTTCAAAGCAGTTGAAGTCTAAACTCTAACCTCTAATCTCTGTCTCTACACAGTTTATCTGAAAAAATTAAATTGCTGATTACATCAAGCTGTATTTATTGACCAGGTTCAAAGAGAACCAGTGATATGAAAGCTGACTCTGCATTTCCTGCTGCTCAGGTTCAGGCCATTAGGGTCAGGAAAGCAATCCATAAACACCTACAGAACAGCATCAAGGGAAATGTTCAGGCCCTTGGAACATTGAATTACAGAGGGCACAAGCTCCAGCTCCCAGAAACACACTGCGGATCTCTCCATTAAAATAAAAATTTTCTTTGCACACTGACTTTAACTCATTCCTAAAATCAATGCAAGAAACTCGAGATCTGAAGAGGGCTTAAGGCTGAGTGAAACAATGGAGAATCAAGACAGGTAGATTTTTGAACTGCAAGAACTGACAGAGTTCAGTGACCAATTACCTACGAAATTATTTCTTAGTGTAATAAGCCTGGAAAGTTGCATCAGATCACTCCAGCCTGGCATTCAGAAGGTAAGTGGGAAGATAAGCATTCAAGACAACAAGCGAAAATTAAAAATTGTTTGAGGTTGAAAGAGATATACTTCAGGTCCATAGTTACCTAATTCCATCAGTCTGAATCTGGGCTCTAGAGAAGTCAGTCTAAGGTAAGAAAGTGCAGTGTAGATGCTCACTAGAAATGCATGATGCTAGGTGTGTTGGCTGCCAATTCTCAATGTGCTTCTAAGAAGATCCAGGTTGCTATATTGTGCACAGCTCTCTCTACTTTCACACTTCTTTCTCTTCAGTTCTTAGCTTTGCTCTGACACCAGGAGACAGAAGCTCATTGAACTACAACCAGCAGCTCATTGAGTGTGACCAAATAAATTTGTGAATTTAATCTTAATTTAGGATGGGTCAAGTTGCATGACCAGGTATTATTACAAGGTCATGCGTTCTCTTTCAGTCATCCAAACACAACACAACATCTGTATGAAAAATAAGTAACCAGAGCAATGAGCCCTCGCATTACAGGGCATCCAGCATGAGTTCTTATATAGGTTGAACACTGAGTCCACCCAAAGGACATACCAACCAGAAAGAACAGCACTCTCAATGACCATGCTCTACAAGATATGCAGCTGCACAAGTGAGGGGATGAGAGTGCAGACTGACTGAGAAGTGACCAGTACCAGGTTAATAGACCTAAATGTCTGTGTTCCTGTGTGTTCCACTGATTTTCCAGTGTCCTACAAACATACATATTCCTAAGTCATCCTTCCCTGTTGGGAAATGGCTCTGGGAACAAGGAGGCCATGAGGAGTTGTATGAGCACAGCCTGTATAGCAGTACAGATTGTATACCCATGGAAAAATACTAGAGACTAACAGGTCACAATGTTTCTGTGAGCAGGAGGGAGTAGCCCCAAAAAGGAACTTGGTTTAAGGGAGTTGACAAAAACAGATAGCATGTAGTTAGATTCTTCTCTGCCTAGAAACGACTGTTGTCCACCAATAGCAAGGCAACATGATAGCTAAAGCTAGCTATTAAAGCTCTGTGTAACCGTTAATAAACTGAAGCTGGATCACTCATATTGAGTCCTGTCGTGCTTCCTGCTCGGATAGCAATCACATTACTGTTTTAGTTCCGCAGCAAGTGGTGCCTGAACAGGGACTGGCGATCAACTCAGCACCAAGCGTGCAGACAGAAGCACCAGTGTTGCAGCGGCGAGCTGGGGGGCATAGCTGCCTAGACCGACCGAGAGGGGTCTGCACGGATCCAGAGGGCAAAGAGTGGCACTCCAATAGTCTCAAGTGGGTGCTGTGAGAGCGGTGGGATGCGGGTTGCAGTGCACCGCGGAAAGAGAGGTAGCCCTAAATTTATTACAGTTCTTCTTAGAGAAGCAAGGGGTGGATACGGGTACTGTTAAGCAAGTGCCGGGATTACTAGCCTTTGGTAAGGCAGAGGGTTTGTTTGTACATTCAGGGACATTCTTTGAGGATGAAGAGTGGCGCACGTTTGGTGATAAGAAGAATAAATTAGAATGGTTGATAGCTGTTTCGGCTTCCCATCAGCTAGTGGGATCATCTGAAGATGCTGGTCGGCTCAAGCCGGAGGGGGATTATGTCTCTATACCCGACATGATGAGGTGTGCGCACATGGATGAGGGGATAGCAGCTCATGTTATGGCTTCTGTGCAGCAAGTAGTGAGTATGCTGAAGCTGCTGGGAAAGCAGGCAGGGGTTTCGCTGTTGTCAAAAGCCCAAATGGCGCTGATTAATTGGGTTAAATGCTGTGGTTACGGGAGTACTCCTGCAGAGTGCTTATCCCATAGGAATTTAGATAAGGTGGCAGAGGAGTTGTGGGAGTAGGTTAAGTTGGGACTGAAGGGAGCTACCTTGGGAAACTTAGAAAGAGCTCTGAAAGCAGTGGAAACAGAGGAGCGGTGTTGGAGGATGACTTGGGAATTAGTGTCAGGTCAGCTTGAGAAGGAAGGCGAAGAATCAGAGAAGAAGCCTACAAAGGGGGGTGTGGAGCCTGCAAAGGGGGGGCAGAAGGATGCTGCAGAAGTTCAACAGAGCAGCAAGCCAGAGTCAGAGACTGAGCAACAGGAGGAAGAGTTGGGAATGGATTCATCTAGAAGGAGTGGTGGGGTCAGGGGTGTCTTGTCGGGAGCAGAGAATGATGTGCCTTGGGCAGCACCTGTGTGGCCTCCTGCAGCGTCTAATTGGAGGGCTACTGGGGCCACACCTGTGTTCTCATAAGTTCCTGGAACAGTGTCTATGCCCACCGCTGGTTCAGTAATGGCACCCACGGCCCCTCCCCTGTATGATAGCAGGAAGAAAACCTTCTACACCTGTGCCTCTCACCTGACATCCATCACCATTTTCTTTGGATCCCTTACTTTTAGCTACATCCATTCCAGCTCCAGGTACTTAATAGAGCAGAAGAAAGCACCAGCAGTCTTCTGCATGCTCCTGGTCCTCATGCTGAACCCCTTGATTGATAGCCTGAGAAACAAGGAGGTGAGGAGCAGCTTCAGAGGGACATCTAAGGTAAGAGAGCTTTTCCACTAATCACTGCCAGCACCTTGCAAAATGCAAAGATAAAGCTGAGAGAAAGGACCGTGGTTCTAAATCTCAGAGTTGAATAGGAACATGTAAATGGCATGCATAGTATTATCATGTATACTTTTCTTTTGTGGTATGCCAGTGCTATTCAACTAAAGCTGTGGTTTTGTACTGTGTTGTCATTCATACTGTGAATTGAAATGAATGTATTAAAAAGGTCACAAACCCCTTGTTGTAAAATAATTGCTATTAAAAAGTTGGCTGTGTACATTTGTACTTTTTGTGGAAAGCTTAATGGTTTTCATAGGAATAGCTGAAAGTGCATTGTGTTGAAGAAGGTCTCATCCATGCACTGAAGTGTTCTACCTTCATGTGAAATCCAGCCAATGTTATCTGCCAATGTTATTAGCAAACTATAGGAATTCCAGTGCAATGAGGCATGCTGGCCGGAGAGAACACTCAGTTGGAAGAAATGTGCACATAAAACATTTATTTCAAATGTTTCTGCTGATTTCCAGCTCAGTCCCTGGAACACCGGTCACACTTTGAGAACAAGCACTGTCGGGTCTCGCACATTGTGAGCTCCCACCCGAGGGGACACTCGCCTGTTTCCCAACGCTGGTGCTTTCTTATGTTTTTTGTGTTTTTTTGTTTGTTTGTTTTTGTTTGGTTTTTTTTTTTCCCCATATTTCCCATTTCCCACCCCACAAATCTGTACAGTAAGTTGCTATGACGTCATAGAACAGAACCAGCCGCCCCCTTCCTCCCCCCCAAGGTGGGCAGCCTCTCAGCGCCGCTCCGACGGGAGCTGAAGCTCCCCTGCCGCCCCGCTCCCCCGGCAGCAGCCAGCGTGAAACTACACCCCCCCAGTATGCCTCGCGCCCCGCTGTGCCCACTGGGAGCGGACGCCCTGACCTATTGCCGCGGAGCATACTGGTACGTGTAGTCAATGTCCCCGACTCCTACAGGCCTTGAGCGGCGCGAGCCGGTAAGGAAGGACTCCGTTTCCCGGCAGGCAACGCGAGCCCAGCAGGGGGCACGGGTAGAAGCCGCTCGACGACGAAATGGCGGTCGATAAGGACCTGCTGGAGTTGGATCTGTACGGCCTGCTGGGGGTCGGCGAGAAGGTGTCGGAGAAGGAGGTCAGAGCTGTATTGCCTCATTTTACCCTTCCCTTTTCTCACCTCAAACCTGTGGGGATGGATCTTGGCTTGGGAAGGGTGACATCAGTTGAACTGACCTGCGAAAGTGTTCTCAGCCATTTCCTTCATTAGCCCTCGGAGCTCCGCAGTGTTTAGCAGAAATCCAATGACTCGAGAGCGATTTAGGTACCTAGCATCATAAGTCATCGCGTTAATTTTGTGGCTTTGGAATAGCGTCTTTATATTTTCTCTTTAACTTAATAGTTAGGTCGATGGTAATTGCCCCAGTGACTGACAGGACTGAACTGGGAAAGTGGTCCGGTGGAGGGGAAGAAGGCTCGAGCACCTGAACGTGGTTAAAATAACGATTTTCTTTCCCCCACTTCAACTTTTTCTTTGTTCTTTCAAGTGCAGCAGGTAAATCGTGGAAGCCAGAGACAGCGTGTAACAGCAAATGTGTTGCCTTGATGTAAGCACGTCAGATACAGTTCACAGGGCTCAGTGAGGTGAAGGACTTTGCTGTTAATTCCTGGGATGAGAAAAAGGATGAGGAAGTGGAGAAGTGGGTGTTACAGAGTGACTTAAATTGACAAGTGTTGTATAGAGTGCAGTCCTTGATGTAAAATACTTGAAACAATGCAAAGCCCACTGGAATTCAGAGGTACTTTGCCAGAAGAGACAAAGAAAGGGAAGCAAGGGTTACTCCAGTAACTGTTTAGATGGCATGTTGAAGAGATGTAACTCTTCTTTACTGGGGTCTTGCTTATGGAAGAGATGGGATGATGTCTGCTAGGCTTCAGCTGCATTTTCCTTTCATCTGTTTTATCCACCAGGTGGTGCTCAGCCACCACTTATTCCATCCCATCTGAAAATTGTTTGGCATGCATTTTCTTGCATGTAGATGTTCCGCTGAGGAGGGAAACTCATTATAAAAACTTTACTAGTGACTTAGTCCATAAAGTTGTAATCTTTTTCTCTGAAGTGTAGAAGTGATTAAACAGTCTTTGGTCAAAAGACTTCACCTTGCCAAGTTCAGTTGTTGCACAGTGGACTATATTACCTCTTTCTCAAATAATTGTAAAGAGTAGAGCATCTCTTTGGCTAGGAAATTGCCAAAGTTTCTGAACCAGACTCGACTTTGATCATGTATTACATCGCTGTAATACAGTGTACCTTGAAGTAAAACTTCAAGCTTCAAAAAGCTGAAAGCTCATTTAAAATGTGGCTGCCTGTCTACTGTGTGTCCTAGGCTCAGATGCTTATCCTTATAGAACAGTGTGATTAAAAAGGGCAGGTTGCTTCACTGAGTAGACTAGTGGAAGATATTCTAACATGGTGTACTAATAGTGCTGTCAGCACTCTAGAAGTGGACTTTTCTATCAATCAGGCATGGGGAGTATGCAGTAACATAAGTGAATGTTGGTTCAACCAAGCCTTCTGCTTGTGAGAGATGTGGTTTAAACTAAACAAAACAAAGAACGACAAAAACAAACATCCACGACTGAGTTGTAACTTTCTTGTTCCTATAGTGTTACTTTTTTTTTTTTTAATTTTTTTTTTTTTTTTTTACCAAGTTGCATTTGTCAGCATGGACTAAATGAAAGCAACAACTGACAGATCTCTGGCTCTTGTAGATTAAGAAAGCGTACCGCCAGAAGGCCCTGACTTGTCACCCAGATAAGAACCCAGATAATCCCCAAGCAGGTGAGATAGAACTGTATGGCTGCAAGCTACTCTTGTCTGTATGTGTGAAAACAAACTCCTGGAAGTGTCTCTGTTTAATTTCAGGTCTGTCTTTATGCAATTAAGAGAATGCCTAGATTTGTGTCATGTGACGTACACATATGCAAAGAACAGAGGTGGTAACTGGAAGGACGTTGTTCCTCAATGACTTCTCAAAATATTATTCTGTGTCTTTCATGTTCCAGATTGATAGGCTGCGCTCTTAAAGATTGAAGTTTTGTAGCTGTGGTATGGGAATTGTCACTATGAATAAAAAAGATCTTTAGCAGAAATAGGAATAGAGCTGGAGGTTTTGATGTATGCAGAAGGCTGGGAGGTGGTCTGAAGTGTATGAAAAGGCCTCCAGCTCATATGTGTATCCCTCAAGCAAGTGGTTCAGCAAAACTGATGTAAAAGGGGAGTTTTGTAGCTCAGGCTAAAAAGCTGTTAATGAGATGGAGAAGTTGGTTTTCTTTTTTTTTTTTTTTTTTTTTTTTTTTTTTTTTTTTTTTTGTAACACTCAGACTAACTGCAGGTTGAGGAATTCCAAGCCTATAGATTGGTTATATTGTTATATTGAGATCATGTTTGCAAGGTTTCTCTTAATAGTAAAATTTCTGCTATTTTTGTTTCGTGATCTACACTGAAGTCTATGTAACAAATGTTCTTTCAACTGTGCAGATTTTGTTTGTAAGTTGGCTTGCAAAATGCTTTGGAAGGATTATTCTTCTTTCTGATGTTCTGCAGGTCTCTTTCAGAAGGGATTTTTTTTTTTCTGATTGATCTCTAGGCCACTAGCGTGGTTTTCTGCATCTTACCCTTTTTTCTTCTAATTCCCAGCGGAAGTCTTCCACCAGCTGTCTCAGGCCTTAGCTGTTCTGACAGATGCAGCAGCAAGGGTAAGGATGCCTATTCCTCAGTTATATTGGGACTGTATGGTGTGACTCTGCATGCTGGAGAAGTAGTAGAAACTCTCATCCTGTCTGGCCTGATCTCTTCTCCAGTAGAGCCTCTGTGAATGCAAGTCTTGTCTGTTATTCCCTGTAGTCTTCCATGAGATGAAATAGCAGGTGCCAGATAAGAGCTTTGATAAATGTTTTTTCTGATCTGATGTGCTGGGAGTAGCTCTGTTTGCACTGAGTGTGGGATACTGTCTTTAATAACATGCTCAGTTGGGACCTATCTCGTTTAAAGAATTCAATAACCACCAGTGATTGGTTCAGTTTCTGTGGCAGTGGTGCATTTGTGGTTCCCTTGATATCAAGATGTGACAAGTAAATAGTATCTAGACATGGGATCACTAAGGCTCAGAGCCCTTCTCTCAGTGGGGCACAAGAGGCTTTTGAACAGAAAAGCTGAGTCATAGTCGTGATCTCTGTCCTTTTGCTGCACAAGCTTTGCAGGCTGCCAGATGTAGCTCGGGCTTCCTGTAAGGAAGTGGTTGAGTGCCTTCTGCAAATCCTGAAAGTATTACATGTGAAAAGCAGGAATAAAAACAGCATGAAAGCGAGTCAGCATGAGCAAGTAATACCATCCAGATAAACTCAGGAGAGAAGGCATATTAAAATTTCAGATAATTTAAAAGCAAATTTTGGCAGAGATTGTAAAGGATAATGATATGAGGGATTATGGTAATGGTTTGAACAGATGTCAGTAAAGTTGCTAGTTTACCCCAGTTCTTAAGTCACTAATTGAGTGTTGATGTGCTGTTGCAGCTGAGGAATTCTGGTCGTCTTTGCTCTGATACATTTATGTAAGTCAACCATCTGTCTTATCAGCAGATCTTTTATATAAAATGTACCTTTTTCATCATAGAAGTTTGTTCTAAATCAAACTCGATTTGTTTTTGGTGCCTCTAAATTTACTTTTGACCTGTTCAGGGAAAAAAAAACAGAATATTTTTCTCACCTCTATAGGTGGGTGAGATTTTTTTCTACAGTGAACTTCACAGTTACTCCTAGATTTCTTCACTCTTTCAGGCTCAGTCTGGAGGTCTCATGTTTTCAGAGTATTTGTGTTAACTCCAACATTTTAAGAGTGCTAGCAAGAAGCAGGAAATGTTTCACCTCTTCTTACAGTGTTTCAGTAGCTGACCTCCCTTCTACTTGCAGCTTCACATTTTATCCCTTTTGCTTTACCTAGTTACACTGTTCTGTTGGGTTTTTTTGACAGGTGGCATATGACAAAGTGAGAAAAGCCAAAAAGCAAGCAGCAGAAAGGACACAAAAGCTTGATGAGAAGCGAAAGAAAGTAAAGCTTGGTAATGAAATCAAAACTTCATTTTCTTTGGGCTTGGAGTCTTCATTAGCTGGGTGCTTGTGTTTCTTTGATGCTGGAAGTCACCATGAATTGTTTTGTTGCTGTTCATCTGCTATGGCTTTTTCTTTTTAGTTTTGTTTTTTTTTTTTTGATTGCCCATCCAGTACAATGCAGAAGCCATATGAAATCTCCAGTTGTCACAGCTAGCGATGATTCTGCTCTGGCAAAGAATTGGGGCTTTTGATGCCCATTAGGACTGCTAATATATTGCTGTGCTTGCACAGAAGAGTTGTCATGTCTCTGCTTTGAGTTTGTTATAGATGTAGCCAAGTTTTGGATCGTTACACCCACCTCTGAACAGCAGTGAAAACTCTTTCTGGTTCGTTTTAATTTTGTTTTTTTTCTCTGCAGATCTTGAAGCCAGGGAACGGGAAGCCCAGATCTGTGACAATAAAGAGGAGGAGATCCGGATAACAAGGACCTTAGAACAAGAAGTAACGATCCATTCTTAGATTTGTATGCTGCTTTTGACAATAACTGCTTAAAGTCTACATTCATAATGCAAACCACATGAGTTGTGCCAACTCCGTGTAGCAGTCCCTCAGCCTTTTGGATTAATGGGCTCTGTGAAAGAGAGGCATGCATGACAGTCTGGCAAATGTCAGTCCTGCTTTTTGACATAGCAGAAAATAACTAATTGGGTATATGCTGGCTGACAGGGACTATGTCATTAGGAACAGGAGGAGTCTAAGTATTAAATAAGCACTGGAGCTGCCACAGTGGGGCTAATGGAAGGTTTACATTGGAAGATGGGGCTAAGTTAAAAACTGTCTTTGGCAGTCTTCAGCTGGCATGAGTCAAGCATGGAACTGTTCCCATGCTGTCTTACCTTTGCTCTAGATAATACGGTTGCGTGAAGAAGGCTCTCGTCAGCTTGAAGAGCAGCAGAGACTCATTCGAGAACAGATCCAACTTGAAAGACAGCAGCGCATCCAAGGTGAAATAGGTGAGACTGGAGTGCTTAACCACAATGAGTACCCCTGGGTCTCCAACTTCTTTATAGATGGAGCAGGGTTTGCATATAGATGAAGCCTTTTGACTCGGTCATCTTGCCACATATAGGATCCTACTTAGACCTTTGTTGAGAAAAAGATTAGCATTTCCGTGAGGCTTTTTTCTTGTATGTGGCAGATTGCTCTTTAGCATATTGTTGCTCCTCTTCAATAAAGATTCCAAAGTTTTGAATGTAAATGGCCTGATGTGGAGCCCCGCAGCTGTGCTGGAAGGAAACCTAAAGTCTTACTTGTCCATCACAATTAAATCAGTCAGTGTTGTACACAAAAGAGGGACTGATGCAAGGTTGCACAAAAAAAAAAAAAAATTGCCATCAAAGTTACTGACTATATCCCTTTGAAAATCCTCAGTACCTATCACCAAGAAGAGATGCAGTGAAGACAGTGAAGTTTTGTATGGTGTACAGTTCCAGAGGTTTTACTTACTGGAATTTGGTTCTCATGCTTTTTAGGCATATGTGGTCTTCATCCCAGGTTTGTACAAAGACTGAGGACAAGTCTGTCAGGATGAGCAATGTGTTGTATAGTAACACAAAATTCAGGTGTTTTCCTGTTTAACATCAGCAAGTTATCATGTTTGAGATTATCTCCCTCTAATTCTTGGGGCTGGTCACTGGCTGTAATTAGTCCCCTTCATACACGATCAGATGAGATGCATCTAGAATCCCTCTGGTATTCCTGAATCTCATTCCCATCCACGTGTCTCTCTAGAAATTTGCCTTTTCTAACATTCTGCATCTCTGTGGGTTTCAAATGTACAGTTCTATATTTCAGAAAGTTTTGTTCTACTTTTCAAAAGAAGATAGAGTGCTATTTAGAATTTCAGTTCAACAGAGAAACTTAATGTCTCTTGCTTCCTACTGCGTTCATTCTGGCTGAGAACTTAGGAGGTCTGTGGAACAGGAGCAGATCACTAGTAAGCACTTCACTATTGAGTATTTAGTTGTAAGACCAGATTAAATTCTTAGGCTGTGTCTCAATGTTGAGATTTTTTTTGTCCTCCCTTAGTTTTCCATGCTTGTTCCTACCAGTACAGTCTATTTACAGGGAGAAATGTTACAGGATCTAACAGATTTCCTTCTTGTGGTTTTCTTGTTTAGCAGTTTTCTACCCTTGATCATGGGATGTCTTGGAATCATGGAAGGGAAGGATGCTGACATCCAATATTTACTTCACACTACAGTTTCTACTGATAACGTCATATAAGGCTTTTGGGGTGCTGAAGTGATGAACTGCAATAAAAATTGAGATATGCACTTGCTGTTACCATAAATACATTTGCAGGGCAAATTTTGTGCTAATGCTATTTAGCTGATGAATTTTCACACATTCACCTATATTCTTACATCTTTTTATATATATATATATATTTTTTTCCTCTACACTCTTCAGGCAACCAAGTAGGAAATGGAGCAGAAGGCAAAATAACTCCCAAACTCAAAGTAAGTCATCTCTATGAAGATGGCTTTGGCAAAAGACAGAATATTTGCAGGTTTGGAGAACAGAAAGGACTTCTTTGCTGAGCTGGCATGCCCTTTTGTACAGTGGTGGTGAAGATCCTTTATTTAATGCATATCATGCAAGCTAACACCTCCCCATCCCTGTATTTAAAATACACTTCCTCCCCTATTCTTTTCTTCTCTTACTTTCTCATGTAAACATTTGAGCCTGAAATTGAATCATCTGTGCTTTAGGCACTGAGCAACATCTACTTATTACCCTGATACAGCCATTAATATACCTTCAGGTACAGTTTTAACTCCCATGAGTCCTTCCTCACAGTTCCCCAAATAATTTGTTCCCTGTGCACAACATTGAAGTTATTTTCTTGGCCATTCTGGGACTGTAGCTGTAAATAGAAAACTTCATTACTCTGCAAGTGGTGTGAGCTGTGTTCAGCATGGCAGCATGTTCAAAAGCACAAAATTAACTTCTCACATTTATTTCCCAGCTAAAATGGAAATGCAGGAAAGAAGATGAGACAGGAGGGGGATATTCAAAGGAAGTTTTACTGCGGATGCTGCAGAAGGTTCTGTCCCATGCTTTTCTGTTCCTTGATGTTCCCCTGCTTTCACTGCTAAGGGAGGAAAGCCCCATATAAACCAGAGTAGCTCATTTTCTTCTCTTGTTGAGCCCTCTCATTCATGCCATTTTCAGAGATCATCAACACAATCCATTTGTTGTGAACTGTTTCTGGTTGCCCATTTGCCTTCTTCCTAGCAGAGATCCCCAGTGAAACAGAGCAACCGCAAACTCTACCCCTGAGTAATTCATGTCCTTTATAAATGTTAGGCTGGCTCTGTGGTTATAATGTGCACTTTTACCTTTACTTAAAGCACTGTATGTTAACTTCTGTGGGGAGTTCAGAGGCAGAAACAGACAAGCCTTTGATAAGATTAGTCCCAGCATATAGTCTTCATTCAGATGAATATCTCCTGTCACTGAGTGAAACAACCCTCTTACCTTGGGGTTTGCTGGAAGCGAAGTTTGTAACCATGTGCAGCTTCTGCACTGTTTCCTGGAGGGACAAACTATGACAGATTGGGATCAATGGAAGCATCATGTAAGACAGAAGGGGTGACAGCTCAAGTCTCATGTCTGTGAAGACACGTTTTCCTTCTGGTCATGCCATAGGTGAACTTGACTTTTCTTGTGGGTCTGTAATTAACTTTTCTTTCTCTCTCCTAACAGTATGGCGACGTGCTAAATTTGTTGATCTCCAGTAGGAAGGTTGGAAGTGCAGTCGTGGAATTTGCTACTGTTAAAGCTGCTGTAAGTCTGGTGGAGACCACAGATGCGTGCAGTGGAGAGTGGGCAAGAAGGGGGTGATTCAGAAGGGAAGGGTTAGCTGTCTGACAGCCTAGAAATGCTGCCTTGTTATTAAGGCAGTGGAGAAGGGTAATGAGAGTCTAAAGGTACACACAGATGAAGGGAGTGGCAAAGCTTGAGGCATAAATTCAGAGCAGATCATGCACGTAAACAAGTAGGCTGTGCATGTAAGCTTCTGAGGGAAGAGACACTGCTTTAAAGGGCAGGCACCAAACTATTTAACCAGCTCTCACTGGGGGTGATGGGCTTAATGAATCTTAGGGATTATATCAAGCATTTGCAGTTTAAAAGCATCTAAAATGTCTTAACTCGTGATGAGTTATAATAATTCATGTTACTATGGAAATAAAAGTAATCTGTACAGTAGCTACTGTAATGAAATAAACCTGTGATGTTAGTAGTTCCATCTACTTGAATTTACAAGAGTTTTGTTGTTTTTTGTAACCAGTTATTTCACTTAATCTATCCAAGTAATTGCAAAAAAATAATAATAATAAAGCAACCAGAAACCCACAACTATCTGTGCTCTGTTTATCAGAAATGCTGGCAGCGATGTTTTACCCATCCTTGGTGCAGAAATGAACCTTGAAGGGTGCTTCTCGTGTAGGGCAGCTGTGAAATCTTCATTGACCTTGATAACAGGCTGAGATAGAAAAACTCCTAGGATTGTGAGCAAGCTATGAGGGAGTGTGACCAAAAATTTGGATGGTGATGATGGAATATTTTCATTGGTAGGAAATGGCTGTGAAGAATGAAGTTGGCCTGACAGATAATCCTCTAAAGATTTCCTGGCTGGAAGGCCAGCCCCAGAGCAATCCCAGCTGTGTCCTTTCTGACAGCAGTGGTCAGCCTAGGACTTCACAGGTAAGAAGAATATATGCAGCTGTTACTTAAATCTGTTTCTATAGCAACCTAAACTTAGGCGTGCTTTGCATATATGGTAGGATGCATTGATCCCTAGAGAAACAAGAAAATAAACTGATAGAGAGATGACTGGCTTCTTGATGAAACTTTTTATGCTTAGGCGGTGACTTTTTTTTTTTTTTTTTTTAGAGGACTTTCTGTCCTTGGTACAAGCTACTTGAACAACTGGATGTTTGCACAATATCCCCCTCTTAAAAGTGAAAACTAAGGATGCTCCTTGCTCAACACAAAACCTCTAATTCCATTCTTCTGTGATTTTAGTCTAGTGTACTTCAACTGTGAAATCCTTTGGCAGGTAGTTCACTGAAAGAGGTATAGAACCTTTAGAGAGGTTTAGTTACTGCATTCACAAGAGGGTGAAATTTCAATGCTAAAAGCAAACCTATGTTCTTAGGGTCTGCAGGAGGAAAACTAAAATAGTGTCAAATTAAATATTCTTTTAAAGAGCTCTTTTCTGTTTTGGTTCTTCTTTACTAGTGTTGGTACAGCTTGGTAGACACTTCAAGTGCAAAGTATTTGCCAACTTCTTGGTTATTCCGCTGGATGTTCAATGTGAAGCTGCTGATGAGAATTTTGCGTTTTATCTCTTTTGTGATTGGAATACAATATGTAGTGGCTAAAACATAGAAAATGTCTCCTCTAATGTGCCATGCTGCATGAAATTGTTGGCCATCAGTTACCTTGTACTCCTATCGCCTGTTTGGAGTGGGAATTGTATCCACTTCTTTTGGAGCAGAACTATTCTGTGTTATAAAGCAAAGTGTAGTGTATCTCGTGCTCTGCCTGTGTTCTGATCTGGGTAGTTGCTTCTTTTCTGAGAGAAAATGTGAAGGGGCCTGAGATCCTCTGGCTATTTGAATTCCTATTCAAGTTTCATGTGACACTTCCTCTCTTCTCCTTCACTGCCTCATGCTGTACAGGTACCCTCAGACCATGCATTTACAACCAAAATACTGTAGCAGTTTGTAAGATTGTTTAATATTTTTTCTCCTGACTTCTCAAGTACTGTATTCACGTGTCAGAATGCCTTGCTGCTATCCTAGTTCTGCTTTTTGTTCTATGTTCTATTTTGAACAGCATGGCCCTGAGCAGCATCACTTCTCAGACATTTCAAGCAGTGGCAGTTTGAGGATCATAGCCCATAGCCAAGCAGGTCTCCATGCACAATGAGTCCTGCAGGCAGAGCAGATTCAGAAAGGTAGCCAAAATGCTTTGGAGAAAAGCAGGATTCAGTTGAGTGTATTTGAGTATCCCTCACTAGCAGAGAACTAGAACTGGCTCTGGAGAGCTCATTCACACCTAAGAGGAGGAGAGGGGAGCCACTAGTGCAGAGGTTGGTAGTGTATTTTTACCTGTGCATTTTCAAGTATTGAAGACTTATTGTTTGATTGATCTCGGCTTGTTTCCATGATGAAAGCTTCTTAATTTGAAACTGCAGTGTCCGCCTGCTGTGAAGGATTAGATGGTGGAGCAGCAGCAAGGGAGGACAGGCTAAAGCAGCAAATAGAGTTCATGCTGTGTGGAGCTGGTTACTCTGTTCGGTCCAGCATAGCTTCATCATTACATTGTTTGTTCTCTAAATGATGAGTTCCAGACAGTGATTTGCAACCTTTTCCAAGAGCTACGCTTCTAATGCTTGTGTTCTTTCTACTGCTTTTATGTGTAAGCAGCAGTGACTTCTTTAATTACATTGTTGTCTTGCTGTCTAGGGTAAGATACCCAAGCTGCTCCGGTTTGTTTTATTATTTGCTTCATTAGGCTTTCCCAAAGTCCTGCTGCTGCTTCTGCGTGGGTGTTTCCAGAATGTACAACTTGGTAATCCCTTCTCTTGACCTTACTGTTTCTAGCTGTCATAGCTGTCTTTGTTCTCAGCTCCTCAGTTCCAGTCTTCCAAATGACATTTTTCAGTTATCAGTTGACATTGCCCCAGTCTACTACCTACCTTATCTCTTTCATACACAGTCTGGCTTTCCATCCATCAGGGGCTATGTTCTTTCTTTCAGGCTCATTCTGATTTTAAGCTGCCCTCGCTTCCTCTTTGCTGTCTCTGGGCAGCTCCTATTTTTGTCCTATTCCACCTTCTGTTTGCTCCCACTCTGTGCAAATGCAGCTCCTTCCCTGCTCTGCTTCAGGAGACAGCTGAAGAGCTGCACTGTTCTCATGGCAACACGCTTACTACTCATCCTGTCTGTGTTCCATGCGTGGGGTTGGCAGCCAGGAGCTGTGCACCAAAGACCACAAATAGTGGAGACCCACAGACAGGCTACACCAGGACACCTTTGGAAGCAGTTCCTAGGAGAAATCAGGGCTGACAGCTGAAACATCACGCTGTGAGGAGGCAGTGAGTTGCAAATTGCATACCTACACAGTTTTTGCTGACCTGTTTCATCCCACGGCAAAGGATGAGTGTTGTCCTTCCTAAACAACAGGAGGGTTAAGCTTTACAAATTAGAAAATTACAAAAGCTGTGGTTTGACCTCTTTTACTTTAGGATACTTGAGAGCAACAACTATTTGATTGCTGCAGCTCTGATAGATACAAAGCACACAGACTGTGTAGTGCTGTGAGAACTATTGTGTACACTAATTTTATATTGTTTTGTCACTACAACAGCATAAAGTGCTTGCTCATGGGAAAGTCATCATTGCACCTGGTGGTGTCACCCTACGTGCTCCCATTCACTTTTGACCATCCATTCAGCCACAGTAAAGTGCTGAGAAAAGCTTTCTGTCAGATATCCTGTTGGAATCTTTTCTAACCTTTGAGGCTTCAGCAAATGTGATTCGTATTATCTGACTTCACCAGATTCACATCAGGTTGTTGGCTGAGTTCTATGCCTTCTCTGGGATTGCACTTTGCTGTTTCCAAAGCTCATGTTTGTCTGGGTCCATGGGATTTTTGTGGGTTTTTTGTTTTTAGAAGAGCATTAGTTTCTTATCTAGCTATGAAAACAAGATAAGGCATTGATGACCCAGTAGGTTGTGCACTGTCTTTTCAGCATGGTAGTGCCTAAGTTGTACTCAGCCTGGCAGAGCATTTTCCACCTCACAGAATGAAGAACTGTGTTCCTTTCTACACTGGATGTTGGTCCTGATCTGTCTGCTGCACTCTCCTTCTCAAGGGAAAGTGGGTATGAGTAGCTCTAGCCTTTTCCCAACCCAGAAAAACAGAGCTGCTTTTCCCACCTTCATGTATGCCTCAGGTGGCAGAGAGGGTTGATCTTGATCACTGCAGATAAGAAACCTATGCTCCTGCTACCTGGCCTTTGTTGTTTTGGCTCACTACCAATGAAATGAGACAACAAGGCACTTCCAATCACAGAAACATTTATTCTTCCGTGTCTGTACAGCTGATAGGTCAGTGCATGCTTCAAGCAGCAGAATCTAGAGAAATTTCTTCTGCTAGTAGACTAAATAAACTGCTGTTTCTGTATTATGAGCTTATATAGATGGTTACTTGTTTGCAGGCTACAAGTACCAACTGCATTTGAATTAGGGGGAAAAAAAAAAGAAAAACTCACATAAAAAGAAATAAAGGGAGAAGAACAACTTTGATTTTTTTCACATCCAAACATGTTGGGAGCAGAAACCATCAGTTTCTGTCTCTTGACCCTTGCCATAGCTATGGTTTTGAGATAGTAACACTGTCTCCTTACAAGCTGCCTGCTTATTCACAAATTATGTATGCTATACCCCTTTCTGTCCAAACTCTGCAGTGTCACAGCCACATCCCCAAAACAAGTCTTCAGTTAAACAATACCAGTCTTCAGTGAGGAGGAGGTGCATAGTCAAGGGTGAGAATTTCCCAGTATGGAGAGTGGAAACTTGCACACAAGGTTCCAGAAGACAGGGCTCTCATCTAGGCATGGAGCCTGTCAGCTCTGCTCTGAAGGACTTCTTGATGAGGACAAAAGCAGCCTGTTATGGGTAAGGCAACAACAATAAAACAGACCACGCGTAACAGGGGTGCTGCAGTATCCTTCTTCCTGTTAGGACTAGAGAAACTGGCACCAGCAGCAGGTAAATCTGATACATTAAGTCATAAATACCTTCAAATGGTATAATCTCTTGGATTCTGTTTCCTGAGGGTCTGCAGAACATCCTCGAGAAGTGATAGCCCCAAGTCCACTTTGAAGGACAGGAAAGGATCAGACAGGTCACAAAGAGTGGTGCTGTTCTGGGAGCCAGTCTCTGAGGTCACGCAGTCTGTAGCCTGGTCCTTGTGGAACTGAGTTTGAGTGGCTTTGTTGTATTGATGAGAAGCACTAGAAAAGGAGACATCAGAGTGAGAATCCGTGTGATCAATGATGTTAGGGCAGCTAGAGCTGTCCAGGTACAGCCGGGGTGGCTTAGGAGGTGCTTGTGCCTTGGCCAGGTTTTGCTCACTCTGACACGACAGGTAATCAGACTTGTCCTTCAGATCCCTCAAGCATTCCCTCTTCTGGCACTGTCCATCACTGTCCAGTGTGTGGCTGTTCTTGTTCAGGATAATGACCTGGTTGCCCAGCTTTTTGTGTCTCCTGAGTGAGAAACGTCTGAAGAATGTTGTGGACTTAATGGATCCTCTCCGCCAAGTATCCATTCTGATAAAAAGAAAAGAGAAAACTGCTGACTCTTCACAGTCAGGTGGTGAACTTCTGTCACAGGCTCAGCAGCAAGTCACACAACAGGAACAACTTCTTCTTTCCCTTTTCCTATAGCTGGAAGGAAAACAGAGATGCTGATATTGCAGGAAATGCAAACTTCACAGTATATCTTTGTATTAAGGAGCAGTTGACCTGTCTCGTGTATTAGGGAGTCTCATTCAGTGGAGAAGGAATGGTGATGTCTGAGCTTGTTAAATCTGTGCCACAGAAACAAGCTGATGAAAAATAGCAAAGGCACACAGTCACCATGAGAACAGATTTAATCTAGCATCTAGAACAGAAGGGCACTTTGATACCATGGTAACCAGCCACCTTCATGATGAAGGGCACAGTATAAAAATCTCAGTGGGTGGTTAGGAAGGGAGCCGGTGACTCAGTAACACTGAAGAAAACCAAAGAAATAGTCAAAGGTAAATTTAAAAAAAAAAAGAAAACAAAACAGCGATGTAGAAGATGAGCATTAGGAAAATGGAATGCAAAATAGACTTACGGTATGTCGGAGCTGCACCTGAGTCCAACAGGCAGAGAGGAAAAACTGCTGGCGTACTGAGAGAATGGTGACCACCACGCTCTGAGATTCTGGAAGAAGAAAGTCCAGGGGCAATTCAGCCAGGCGGGACCTAGAGCAATAAGAATCTACAATGCCGCCTTCTCTTCATGTGCCTCTTGTCACTGCTTCCCAGGCTGCAGTTCCTTGTGCATATGTATTTGTTTTGAGCCAAGCCCTTGCTGAGTCAGCCACGTCAGAAACTGGGTTTTACACAATTGGTAATTACCAGGATTGCAGGAAGTAGGTGTAAAGTGGCAAAGCATCAGCCCACACTCTGCCTGAGGAGAAAGCAAGCTCGCTCAGAGACAGGCACCCAGACTGCTTGAGAACTGTCAAAATGAATGTCAACTTGGAGCCCATCTTGAATCAGACTGCTTCTTCTCTACTGCCACTTCTAATGGCTTGTTTTATCAGCAAGACTCCCATACAAGGCAGAAAATAATCTCTTGTCTGTTTTAAATTTAAATCCAGAGCATGAGGTAGTGATTCAGGTTTGTATGGGTGACTCATTTGCATGAGTCTCATGTAGCCTATTTCATTCAGCCAGGCACATGACAGTAAATATCTGTGGTTAGTGGACAGGAACTTTGAAGAAACCTTGTTCTGCCACTGAAGGCTGATACAATCTGTTGCTTTCTCAGACACTGTGAAAATCTGTGCTGTACAGTACTGAAAGATTATTTCATTCATGCAGTTCCAAAGATACCAATTACAGCATATTAGTTTCTTTAATTCCCCACTCTAAGTTTCTCATCTACTGTGGGCTTTTATTTTGTACTCACAGCTAGGTACTCTGCAGCTGGAGTAACTACTTTCCTTGCTCCATTTTCCTGCAGAACTTTTGCCAGTCTACTGTCTTTTCATCCCTTCTAGTTTCTATTCAAGATATCGTTTAAATCACCACTAAATTTAGTTCCTAGAAAAATGAATTTGAGGGTTTTTTTTTGTTTGTTTGTTTTTTTTGTTGTTCACTTTTTATCAAGATGCTCGTATTTCTGGCTAAACTATCAAGCAAATGAGATGGATGTTTCCAAGCACTGTGGCACTTCGAATACACCTGAAATCAGTAAGGCCACTTACTAATATGAAATGACTTTGGAAAGGAGAATGGCAAAGCTACAATTTTGCTCTGAGATACCAGCTGTCATTTGCTGCCTACATTTATAAAGTAGTATGCAATCACCTCGTAGCTGACATGACAGTTACTACCACACACTGCAGAAAGGCTCCAAGAGCTTTTGGGAACTGAAACTCTTGTGCTAGGTTTGGGAACATACCTGGTTTTCTTCTGTGCAGCTCCTTCCATAACTAAGTCACAAAGGTTTGGTTTTTATGGCGTTAGCCTTTATAATGAATGAAGTGTGTGCTGGACTTTGGGCATCAATGTTTTACTTGCAGAGGAAGCTTGTCATCCAGAATAACCAACCACAACAAGGCAAGCCATGCTTCCCCATCTATCCTCACTGTGAGAAGCAAGAGGTTATTTCAGACACCCTGATGGTTCCATTCTTTGTCTCAGGACTAGCACTGTCAGGGGTCAGCACTGTTTCCTATGAAGCCACCTGCTTTCTGTAGGCAGTTTTCCCACCTTACCCAGTTTCCCTGGTGTCATAGTCCACTGAGCTGCATTCCTGACTCAAATGTGTGTTGTTGTGAGTGTGACTTTGGAAAGGAGAATGGCAAAGCTACCATTTCGCTCTGAGATACCAGCTGTCATTTGCTGCCTACATTAGAAGGGGACTGTGGGGAGTCAGTGACTTCGCAATGTGCACTGTCCTTGACATGTTGCAGTTGTTTTCTGCTCCTAGGCATCTGTGGTCTCCGAGCGGGATTATGAGAGCCTGGTGATGATGCGGATGCGCCAGGCAGCAGAGAGGCAGCAGCTGATTGCACAGCTCAAGCAGGAAGATGAGGAAGAGTCTCACACCTAGCATGAAAGTATGGATTCTCCCCACCCCATCGTTCTTCATTTCCAAAGCTGTTTCTTAACTAAGGCAATAAAACTCCTTTTTTTAAAAACTATTGTATGTGCCTGCGGCACTTTTCAGAGAACGGGAAAAGATGACTGCATAAGCTTCAGTGTTACCCTGTTAGCCTCTGTGCTCAGCATAGCTGTCTGATCAGAATTCAGGATTTGAGAGGTACTATGAGAACAAACACCAAACTTCTAAAAAAGTGTTGTAATTCCTGAAAGCTTGCTTAAGAACTATGGATCGAGAAGTCTTTGGCACCAACTGATCAGAATAACCCACACAAAGATATCAGTCTCTCTAGCAAAATGTTTTATTGGTGTTACCTCTACATCAGGATTGATACACAGTCCCAAACGATGCAGCATTGCAACTGCTGCCGTTAACTTTATGTAGCCCATAATTGAAATGTTTACAAGACCTGTTTGCGCTGATCTAGGGCTACTTTGGGAATCAATGTGTTATGTTCAAATGGAACTCGAGACAGCAGCATCAGGCTTTCAAACCATGGCCCTGATTGGGAGGGAAGCTGGTCTTGCTGCGCATGAAGAGATTCTCCAAGAGCACTGTGTAGGTTAGGCAGTTTTTACTTTCATTTTGGAGATGAGATAGTGCACCTACCACTCTTGACCTCCATACATCCCCTCCAAGATCTGGAAGGAGGTTTATTCTGAATTCACAGTTCAGCACATGCCCATTGAGACAGCCCTGAGGAACAGACAGCAAGGCTGTGATTTGAGCTCCTTTCAGTGCACGCTAAATAGATTATTAAATTGCAGAAAGATGGTATTTACCAGATTGCATTCAATGAATGTGGAGTTAGAGCCATCTGTTTTATGTGCATGATATAATCTGGACTGAGCATACCTTCCCCCCCCCGAGGTCTTAGGAAATGGCAGGGATGCTGAGTTTCCATTAGGTGAACCCTTGCTTCTGCACTACTCCTCCCCTGACGCCTGAGTGCCTGGAGTCTGGGACAGAAAAGAATTACTCAAGGGGAGAAGTTTGCTGTCAGTCCGGTGTGAGATGATCCCCTCAGCAGGGCCTTGCTGAGGTGGAATGCAGAAATCTTCTTTGCTATTCCTTGTGGAGGCACCACACCAGCGTCTGGCCCACACCCGTCATGCTCACCACCCGGTAACCACAGGTCTCCAGCTTGTTAAGGACTATCCTTGGTGCATCATTCACATAGTACTCCCAGCTGCAAGTGGGAAAAAGAGGAAAGCAGGGATGAAAAAGGATACAAAAATTTCCTTGTGGAACTGGGTCTGCCTCGCTAATTAACTGGTACGAAACACTGCATGGGCACATCTGGCATATTGCCTGTGTGATGCAACACCTTGGTTAACCAGATGGGGAAGACCAAAATCCACAGCTTCCAAACCAAGGAGAAAGCTGGTCAGAATGGAATTTGATCTTAAATTGGAGTGTGGTTTGGGGACTGGTTATCCAAAGCCACATGCTGCTTACTTAGCTGAGCTTAAACCACAGCTACGGGAATCATATCTCAGAATTCATGGAAAAAGAGAATGGTCTCTGCAAAGCAGGGAAAAAATGTAGGACAGCAGATTTACAGTGTTGTAACAGCAAGATCTTTTTTTCTTTGTTGTTCCCGTGTTCCTGCAGCTTGCAGGCCTGGTAACTCCCTGTTATCAGACCCTGTTTGCTGTTGCTTTCAGCAGACCTCAATTTACATGGCTGAACTGTTCTGGAAGCTTTTTACAGAACAACTAATCTGTTTTAAAGGTGTAAAATACCAATGTTCTGCTTTGCTCTTACCATAAGGAATAGCACAACACAGGCATAAAACTATTTGAATTAGGTTAGGAAGTGGCAGAACTGAAATGGCAAGTCTGTCCTTTAATGCTGAATTTGGCAGCCTTTCTGTTCCTTTAACACAGTTGTTTGGGCTGCAGTATTTATTCAAGCAGATGGGATAAGTTTCGTAATTGTGTAACTCTTAGATGACTCACCGTGCCTGATAAGCTGATAATGACGGGCTGCGGGATGGTTGATGATCTCGGTTGGGCATCCTAACAAAGACTACCCTGACTTTTGTGCTAATAATAAAAAAAGACCCAAAAGCATTTCCAAAGTTGCTAACATTGCAAAACGTTTATAGTGGTGAGCATTTTTAAAGCATAAAATGTCACTCAGATGTGAAGGTATTTTTCCAGCTTCTCAAGACAGAGTATGCAATAATTATAGATGTGATATAAAGATAATATCTATTATTATAGGGTCTTTGAACTTAATGCTTTCTCTAAGAGGCTTGCCACCTTCAGATTTGCATGTTGGAGATGGTAAATATTATTGCCATTATGCAGAGGAAGTAGCTGAGGCAGGGGTTGTTATTTGTAGGAACCTAAACTGGAGTGACTGAGCTGAAAGCAGAAGGCAAGCTAAGTGGCCTAGGGCCTTAAATACAACTCCACACTGAGCAAAACAAAACATCTTGCACGATGTCTATTAAGTGTGCCACCCTCTTCACAAGCGAGCAGTCTGAATCAGGATGGGGACATTTGTAAAGTCCTTCGGCCTGAAGCCAGTAGGGGACAGAGGTCAGCCTAGAGAGGAGAGGAATTCTTCACGTGCCCATTGTAAGTACATAAGCCTTTGGCTCCCAGGTATGCCAAAGGTAGGTGAGTGAGTACATGCTGTGTGTGGGAGTGGGGCTACAGCAAGAGCATCCTAATGCAGTGACTTTTAGTCTGATTTTAGATGGTTTGCTATTTAAAAGTAGCAGCATTGATTGATAGCCTTTATTATGACAGGAGGTGGAGGGGACATTGTCCAGCATCTACTCAGAATCCCATTTTGCAGTAGCCCAAGATTGGCTTTGCAACCCAAATGTCCAAGCGTTCTTCCCCTGCACATTAAATAAGGGATGGAGATAAGGGATGGAGGATGCGTGCTGGCAATTGATGGTGCTTAATGATGTGGCATTTGCACAGCTGCTTAACAGAATCCTTTGTTAGAGGCAATTACGTGTTTTATGTATATTACAATGCTACAACAGATCCATACTGCCTAGACTCTTTCCGGCTCCCTCAGAGCTCCTTAGGTCGTGTTTAAGGCTTTGGATCTCAAGATGCTGTGGAAAGGGTGAGATTTGTGTCATCATGTGGCAGCGGGACAGAAAACCCTGCTCGACCATGGTGCTCTCCTCCCCAGCAGGGCTTTTTGGCAGAAGGTGAATGGAACTTGCCTTGCTGGCATACCACTGTGCCTCTCAGGGTGTCAGTATTCCATCCACATTGTTTCCTCCACCCTGTGTTGCTCAAGAGCAAACAGGGAAGACATGCTTGAAAATGTCTATCAGGCCACAAGCAGGCACAAGTAGAAATAGAAGGATCCCCCAAGGAAGCAAAATCAGCCACTCTACTTCCTTATTACCCTGTAATGGCCTTAAAAGGACTTTCAAGCTAGACATTAGGAAAAATTTCTTCTCAGAAGAAGCGGGGATGTATTAAATGGGTTGCTCAGGGTAGCGGTGGAGTCACCATCTCTGGAAGTGTTCCAGAACCATGGAGATGTGGCACTGAAAGACGTGGTCAGTGGGCATGCTGGGGATGGTTTGGGGTTGGACTTCATCATCTCAGAGGTCGTTTCCAACCTTAATGATTCTATAATTCTATGAACTCCTCCCTGGCTGCTTGGGCATGCAGCATGGAGGCATTCCACCTTCCTTCCATTTTTGTTCCACTCAAATCCTGGAGATTCACCCCTATCAGAGCCAGCAGAACTTCATCCTTCTTGAAGCCTCTCCTGGTTTTCTCCTCAGGTCTCTTCTCCCATTGCATAACTCCCAGGCTCAGCTCCAAAGGCAGCAGCACGAAGCTGGCACTGCTGCCAATTTCTGTGCCACCCACGGGCTTGGGAATAGCAGTGCAGAGATGGCTCTGCAAGCCCATCTGAGCCCTGCTGATGGAAAGGGGTAATGGAAGAGGCCAAGTTCCTGCCAAAGCAGATGGCCCAAGTTTGCATTTTGGAGAGTTTCTTGAAAATCAGGGTACTTCCATTTTTCCTGTTCTTTGAACTCCTAAGTTTTGTAAAGCAATGGAGGAGCTGGGTCTCGATGCCTGCCAGCCCAGTGCTGAGGACATGGGTCTTTCCAGCTCCACTGATGGAAGTCTGAATACGCTGGGACCAAGGAAACGCCTGGTTTTCCTTCCACTCCTCCTCTGCGCTGCCTCATGAGTGGGCAAGCATGAGCAGAAATCCAACTGCTGCCCTCTGCTTTAACTTGATTTGCATTTAGGTATTTTGTTTTGCTGTGGGTTTTTTTGTTTTTTTTTTGTTTTTTTGTTTTTTTTTTTGTTATTATTATTTGAATCTTAGAGAAAAACAAGAAGTCAAGATACCAAATGGGAGGAGGGGTTGGGATGTGTGCCAAGATGTAAAGAACAGGATGGCAGCATTTCTAAGCTGCACCCTTGATTTCAAACTCAGCATAGGCAGGTAGAGACACAGCATCAGATGTGTTGGAAATACACAGCCTAATGGGCTGGGAACACAAAGCAGCTCAAAGCCTGAAGACTCAGCAGCCCAAGGGAAGGCTTCAGGGAGGGATGCTGAGGGGAGAAAGGGAGAAAGCTCAGTCTGGAATGGGTTAGAACAGGCTGTGGGAGAGTACCTAATGTGGATTGGCACTAAACCTGGCCAGAGCCAGGCTGAGAGGAGAAGGATGGGCACCATTTGCTTCTGAGCACCTTGGGGCTGGAAGTGATACCAAAACAGAAAAGGTGTGTCACTGAGGATGGGATAAAGGCAGATTGTTATGCAAAAAAAGTTTAAATGCCTGCTGCATCTGTTTTATTTCAGCCTGGCTAGATAGCACCCAAAAGCGTCCCAAGAATGCGAGATGTGAGGATGAGAAAGGGTTATGGTTAGAAAATAACAGAAAACTGCTTGAAATATTAGGAAAATATCCTTGGCTGAGCACTGACAGGTGGGAGCAAGGACAGGCACATGCCCCTCCAGCAGCAAACCAGTCCTGGGTTTAGAAGTAGGTGTGCCAGGGAGTGAAGCTTTAGGGAAAACAGGGAGGGGGGAGAGATTGAAACATTGCACTTACAAGTGGTTCCCGAGCATGTTCCTCTTTCTGGCCCCCAAGAACTGCATCAGGTTGGGATCCGAGTGCTCATCTCCCACCATGGTGGGGCCAACCTCCTGCAGAAAAGCAGCAATGCATGGTGAGCATG